GGCCAGTCTGCTGGTTAATTGCACATCATGGCTGATGTGCATTCCAAAGTTAACTTATGCAAGCAAGAGAAAGAAATCAGAATATATGGGTTCCATCACACGCAGGATTTGAAGGCAATAAAGGAGCTGATTATTTAGTCAAAAATTCAGTACATGAGCACAGAAGAGGATTTTATTTGCAGTATGGGCCAGCAGAATGCATGGAATTTATAAATAAATTACAAAATGAAAATGGCAAAATCTATGGGAAAATTATAAAAAGGTACCTTGAGGTAACCAAGGTTACAATTCAGTGATTTAACATAAGAGAAAATGTAACTCTGTGGACCATACAGATATAAAACATTTAAAAAGGGAAAATATGTAAGATCACATATGCAAGTGAAAGAAAAGTAAATTCTAAATACTGAGTAAGAAAGTCACATACTTTAAAAAAAAAAAACCCATATATGATTGTTTAAAATGCTAAAGATGTAAATACTTGCCATCAGATCCCTCAGCAACAGAAAATTTGCATGGACTTCTTTTTAATTAACTGTCCCATTAAAACAAATAACAAATAAATCAGTCATCTATAACAAACATAATTATTATCTGACAAAGCAAAAATAAGCTCATGTACATCTGTCAATAAGCTTGTGAATAGCCCTATATATTTTCGTCAATTTTATTATAATTACTTGAATCAGTTACTAAAAAATTCTTGAGTAAAAGCAAACACACATAAAAGAAACCTGAATAACTGCACTTTTAAAGCTTATTTTAAATGATAGTCATTAAAGTGCATGAGAAATGTATTAAAGTTTATCTGTGAAATATTAATTTTTCTTCTATATGACAAAAACTAAAACTAAATGATATGACATGATATCTGGAATATGTTCTTTTGTACATAAGAAGAAGGTGAGGAGGAATATAAGTTGTTACTTGATGTTTTTTGAGGCTTTTTTCTGCCTGCTCTTTTGTGGTGACATTCAAAGTTTCAGGAATATCAGCAGGTTCTGCCTTATATTCTTTGGCAAAGTCTTTGTTTTACTTTGCCATTACATATTTCCAGTAGTCTGATGCCTCAAGGCTCGAATCTGGAGGGATTTTACAGTCCAGATAAATTTCTTTGTAACACTTGTAAGGGTGCTTTTTGTAGCACTGCATCTAAAACGGCCGTTACTGATCATGAGAGAAAAGCATATGTCAGTACCAGTTTCTTTGTTTTGTTCCAGGTGTATACCCTCATTCCTATAATAGACCCATTTTTGTAATATATCTATATTATTGCCAAAGCACTTTCTGGATGGATGGAGACTACATTTCGTTTCCTTGTACTTGTAACATGTGCAATGACAATAAAGTTGAATTCTATTCTATTCTATATATATATATATATGTCGATTCTCACTGCCTCTGCTTGTGATTGGTGTTAGGGTTATTACTCAGAAAAAGTAATTACTAAACATATTACACAGAACACATTTCATAAAAGGAATGGAGTTTTAATTATAATAAAACTGCATTACTATTTAAATTGTAATAGTAATACGGTGCTTAATTATTCCATGAAGAAAGTAAGTCATCATACTGATCATTACATTACTTTCATATTACTCTGTAAAAAAGCTGAAACACACTGTCTCATAATTACAGTTAAACAAAATGAACCTATAAGTTACAGCCCTACACACCAACACAAATCCCTATCCTAATGAGGACTCAAACGTATCGTTCTCTCAGTATTAGGGTATGAAAACAAAACTGAAAACACAAACCAAAAAGGAAAATAAGCACAAAAAGACAAAAAGCAATCGTCACTGTGATTCTACTGTAGACACATGAACAGGTAGAAATGAAGGCTGCAGCCTGACTGCTTATCAGTTTGCTACCTGATTCAGGGTGTGGCTGCGGTGCTGAAGTCATGAAGTCGCCATTCATTCAGCTTCCACGCTGAGTTCTTTCTTGGCTAGCTTAGTGTTAACATGCTGTCTGTGCAGGTTCTTGTGTAGAGCCAAACTTTTGTTAGCAGCATAGTGCAGCTGTTTCTGTACTGGATGAAGTTTGCACTTTACCATTGTGCTTTCTCCCTTTTCTTCCAATAGAATTGGACTACTGAGAACCAGTTTTAAATTCCCATCCTTAGTGTATACATACCTCACGTTAAAGGCTTGCAGAGATCATGTCATTCTTTAGAGCAGAGTTGATCACAGTTGGGTTGGTGGGTTGAAGACCAATAGCAAAATCATTCAAAAAATACTGTTAGCAATTAAGGAATAGAATTTCAAATCCAGACCTGACCTGCTATCAGAGACATATGAAACATTATACAGAATAGACAGAGCGGGGTGGAAGTGGGAAATGGATTTATCTGGGTTCAATCTGACTCATGGATTGGAAGGCAATAAAGGAGTGGATTGTTTGGCCAAAAATGCAGTAGGCAACAGGATAGGACTTTATTTACTGTATGGTACACCCGAATGCATAAAAAGTCAAAAATAAATCAATCAATGAAAAATGGCAAAGCTTGTGGGAAATAATTAAAAAAGGGCATACTTGTTAATACAGTGAGAAGATTAGATTAGATTAGATTAGAAAAATGTCCAGATGACAAATTTGACTGTGAGAGCATTGAAACAGTCAGGCAGTCAGGAAGTATTTCCATCACAGAGGATAGAAAGAGAAACTATCTTCAATATGTACACACTTCCAAACCTGGATTTCTGGACTAAAACAGAGAAACTGTAGCTAATGGTCCCAAAAGGTTTATTCTGTTCATCTGGAAGTAGCATTTTCAATGGGACAAACATCTCGTCACTCATCCAAGTGACTTCTTCAGTCTCAGCTAACTGCAGGTTTCACCAACCTTATAAACACTACATTTGCACAAAAACTGAAAGCAGCCCACTGATTGAACAGCGGGCTATGAGGTCAGTTCCTCAATCGTTAATATGCAAATGATCATGACCATTGATCAACAACCACTGATCAATGGCCATGAGTACCATTCACAGAGAGTTGGAGTGGCTTTCGCTATCTTATAATCACAGCATTGTAAGATGGCGTAAGATGTACCCTTAGACCATTCAGATATGGTCTTTTGCTTTTCATGTAATATAGAGATCTGAAACTGATATTATACATCAAGTTTAATCAGAAGCCTGACTTAGGAAATAACAAGCGCTAGATGGCAGCAAATCGCCACCACATGGTGGACATCGGGAGAGAAGACCTGATCCGAGAGCGGACCCGGTCTACCAGGAAGAAACCTGCTGCGAGAGCCAAGAAGGCAACAAAGAAGGTAACAAAGAAGGTAACAACGAAGGCAACAACGAAGGCTTATTTCGGTTTGGCATCTTGCTTGCCAAACCGAAATAAGAAATAGTCAACAGACTTTTGCACTGAATGGTGGTAGTGTAGCTTAGCTCATCATGTGTGGTGGTTGTTATTTTGTGAAGAACCCCGTTTTGTGCTTTTTGACTTACCCTTGTCTCACCTGGACAGACTGTCCCTGTGAAGAAATAAGTGGAGAAAAGATGTGTCTGGAAACACACCCTCTCCCTTGTTTGTCCAAACTCCAAGAAGACTTGTCTATTGTCTATGCAATCTTTATTGGCTGTTTAACCATCTGTGGGTGCAATAAATCTGTTAAATTTTCA